AAAAGTCACTATAAAAAAATTAAAATTCAACCGACGTCCAACAATAATTGAGAAACACTCACTGTTGCAGTTCTCGGCGACGCAGGTTTTGCTGCACCCGACCTGTAATCCGCCGCCAAGAGATTAATGTAGAGAAGAAGAGGAATTTGGCTTTAACAATGAAAAAGTCAATACGATGAGGACCTGAGAATTTTTAGACGATTCAGCAACGGCAAAGAGGCAGAGTACGAATGCGGCGGCGACTGTGCGGTGAAGAACTCCGGCGGATAGCGGCGGCATTCTCTCCCTGAGATGATGCCTTAATAGCGCCTTTTTCTTATATTTTTGACTTATTTTATTCTCTCCCTGTTGTTTCCGGCCGCTTTTCTGTTGGGCATTCGCTGTTTGGCTTTGGTTAGGCACTTGGGCTTCAGAAGTTGTAATATTACCATAATAACCCTCTTGAAATTTTGGGTTTCACGTGGCCTCTGCTATCCCATTGGTTACCCGGCTTTCCTCAAACATTTTTTAACATAGATTATTATATAAGACTATCTTTNCTATCCTATTTATTACTTTTATTTTTCAATTATTGAATTTATTATATATTAAAAAAAATATATCAAAATTTGTATTTTTTCATTCTCTATAAATAGAGACCACTCTTGATATGTTTTAGATCACAATTAAAATTTATCTGTTTTCACCAATTTCTTAATCTTACCTTATTAATTTTTTGAAATCAATATTTTTAATGATAATTTTCTTAAATAATTTATCACAACTAAAAAAATAATAAAAAATTGATTGTAGATAATATTTAATAAAGAAAAATAAAATAAATAGTATGTTGGGTTGGATTGAGTTGGGTTAGGGATAAAGATATGTAGGTTGTTAAAAGTTGAGTTGTGTAGGTGGATGAGAGAGAAATAATTTTTTATTATTGAGTTGGGTTGGGTTGGGTTGGGGATAAAGATGGTCTAATAGCTCATAGCTCAAATATAGAATTACAAGAAAGTTGACCTGTTATATAGCCTATAAAAATGATACAATTACATAATAAATGTACTCTACATAACACTCACATAAACCTCCAGAAATTCTATGGTGCCCATATGGGCACCATATAGTGCCATAAACCTCTATGTAAATTATTATGTACTTATAGCATTACTCTATAGTCTAAGGATTGTTATAAATTATTATTTTATATTTTGAGTTAATTTAAAAGCACATATTTTTCAACGAACTTTTTATTATATAATTAAGAAAGACCAAAATATATTTTATTTATTTAACATGTCAAAATATAATTTACATTATAATAGATTCACACATATTATTTACATTACTTTTATTTGTTTAACATGCCGAAATATAATTTAATTTCATGTTATTTCACGTAATAAATATTTTCACAATTTTAATGAGTCTGCTATTAGTTTGACATATTATTAGACAAATAAGTATTATTTTGATTCATTTTATTGTAATTCAATATTTTTTTTTTCGAAATAATACTGTCATATAATTCTAAAGTCATCGATTGTTTGTGGCGATTGATGAAGCTTGGCGCGGACCGAAAAGGATTGCCTCGTACACATAAGGGGGAAAATTTGGTTAATTTTTCAATGCGTCATATTCACAATAATCTCATTTCTTTCTATGGAGAGACGACCCTTTTTCTCTATTTCTATAATTACAAATTTACTAGTATTCGACATGTGCATTTGCACATATATAAATAAATTATTGTGAGTCTGTACATATAATGATTAATTATTTTTCTTTTACTTTTTTGCAGACCAAATTTACAATTAAAAGAGTTGGAATATTTTTTTTAAAATTGCGTTTATCTGATTGGATGTAATGTATATTTTGGTACGTCTTTTATTTGTGAATTATTTATTATTTATTTAGGAATTTCAAATATATTTTTTATTTTAAGAAAAAAAATTAAATGTGACAACAATAATAACATTTAATCACATTATACGGTCAACACATTATATAGTCAACTGTCATTAATCAAAAGTTTAAAATGATTTTTGTAACTTTGAAGTGATGAGTATTAATTATTTAATGATTAAATGAAAGATTAAATACTTCAAAATGTAACTGTTTTTGGAGGGAAAATTGTTAAATTGCCACATAGGTAAAATTAAATAGGTTTTATTAAATTCTATTAGCTAGTAATTATATATATATAGATTTGTACAAACTTTATCAAAATAATAAATTTTAAGATAAATTAATACAAATATTAAAAAAATAAAAAAAAGAATGTAGAGTTATAATAGTTCTGTGCCAGATATGGCGCAACACTGTTCAGAATTATAAAATAGCGCGAGAATGTAGTTCAACATTGTACTTCACTTTAAGCAAAATACTAGCATTTTACGCCAGAGTAGCGCAATGTTGGAGACACTTTTAATGGCTTCCTTGTCAAGGATTTTATTTTTAGAGGTCCTTCACCCTGGCCAGCTCAGACTCCATAGAAGGCAACACGGGTTTCGGCCATTTCCTCATTCTTCTTTGTGAGATGGAACTCTTGCTCCTCCAGCTTCAGCCCATCATGGCAGATGATGATGGTCAAGTTCAGAGCTTAACTGAGCATTTTCGTACATTTTATACATGTTGAAAAAATTGATGTGGAAAATATAAATATGTATATAAAGAAGTGTAAACAACTTTTAAAGTGTGTGTCTCAAAGGATAAACTTAACGGGATAACAAGTTACCAGATATTACCAACTTAAACAAAGCATAAAAAGATATTTATATGTTATCTATATACTAGTACGTAGCCCGTGCGATGTACGGTACATAGATATTAAATGAGTCATTTTTGTTTGTTCATTAAATAGCTCGTGCGATGAGACAGATATATTAAATGAGTCATTTCCATATGGCTTGATCGTTAAGCCCTAAAAAATAATAGAGTTGGATGATCTATTTTTCACCTCTTTTCATCAGCGTCATTTTTTTGTCGGGACGTTAAAATTGTTGTTACCTCTAGCTCGTAAATTAATTAATATATTATCCTCCTAACATGTGTATAGTAATATAAATTTTATTTTAGTATATATATTTATTCTTTGATATAAGAAAAATAACAATTTTATTTATTCTTGTTCCTCCTATACTACTCAATTATTATTTTAATAAAAATCTTGTTGTAATATAATGTCATTTATAAAAGTTATAGATGCAGTCTTCTTCTTCTTTTTATTTTATGTAATGAAAATATTTAATGTACGTTAATATTATTTATTAATGTAATTAGTTTAAGTTATCTAAAAAAATTTAAAATAAAACATTGTGTACAAATATTTTACAAAATATAAAAAATATTTTTTTAGAATTTTATTTCTTATAATAATTAAACATCTTTGATTTTTCTAATTTACATTATAAAGATTTATAGTTTACAACATACTATGGAATATATATTAAAAAAAATCACTATGGAGAGAAACCGGAATAAAAAAAAATGACAAAAAAATAATCATGGTTAATAATAATATACAAATAAATCATAGTGAAAAAATAATAATAATAATATACAAATAACGAATAGTTAATAAATTTTAAAGAATAGTTAATATATTTCAATTATATATATATATATATATATGTATATCATGAAATAGAGATGAAAAAAAAATGCTTAGCATGTTACGATTTTTCATAAATATTTTAGGATGAAAAGTAAGTATTTGTGGGGAAAAAAAATAATATACTTATAATTTCAAATATATTCATGTCTACCTTGACAATAAAATAATCAATATGAATCACGAAAATTAATTTTGTAATTTATTATAATGTATATCGATAAAATTATTAAATAAAATTTTAAAGGAAATAATCTTTTTGATCATGTCTTATTATATATGGATTTGGAGAGTAAGATTAAAAAAAATTAATTATTTTATATTTTGATTATTAAATAAGCCGTAATTTATTTTTATTAAAAAATAATAGCCACCATTTAAAACAATTTTATTAGCCGATTTGATGTTAAAAAGTTACGGATTTTTTTTAGAATAAAAAGGTACATTTTTATTATTAAATCAACCATAAATTCTTTTTATCCAAAAAAAAAAGAAAATTAGATGAGTGGTACACGATTTTATGTTACAAAAAGGTTTTTTGATTTTGTGAAAATTGTGCAACTACAATTAACAACCTCTCCACTTTTTAAGACAGACATTTATCTCTCATTCGTTTTTTCATTAAAAAAAGAAGAAGTTGCTATTAATAGCATGTAATAAATGCTGACCGAGTTTGACCTGCCATTTTTGAAAAATGGTAATTCTTATATATATATATATATATACATATATATATATATAAATAATAGCATTTAATAAAAAATTTAGTAAAACCTCATTTTGATTTCCCTCAAAAAACCGTTACAAACTTTATCATTTATATATCTCTCTTTATATTTAATTACTTATAAATTTAATAATATTAATTATTGTTTACCATCTTTTTATGTTACAATCTTCTATTATTATTATTATTATTATTATTATTATTATTATTATTATTATTATTATTATTATTATTATTATTATTATTATTATTATTATTATTATTAATCCACCATATCTAATTAATGCTAAAATATTTCATTGCACTTTTTTTAGGGTTAATTAAGACAAAAACTGTTACATTTTATATTAACGGAGTAATTATACTATTTTATTATATCATATAATAGTTATTATTAAAGCTAATAACTATAGTTTACACTAAATGATATATGAAAGTTACATAAACATAAAAAAATATTGTAAAAGTTTTGCTAAAGTTAATTATTCTAAAATTAATATTATATTTTTTTATCTTATTTAGTGATTGTATTTTTAAATAAGTTAATTTATTTTAATGTTATAGTAAAATTCCTTAAAATTGCATAATCAAATGTTATAATAAATTTAATATTTTTAAGCTAATAAATTGGCGACCTCTCAAAATTACATTATTTATTATATTTTATGTAATTAATATAGTGGTTCATATGCAATCAAATAGTTATGTACTATTTATTTTAACCAATGATCAAATTTTAAAATATAATATTATTATCTAATTTATATATTTATTATGATATACATAAATATAACTTATAATACTCTATATTTAAAATATAATATCATTGTACAACTTATAATTTTAATACTATATGCATAAATGTAACTTATAAAAAGAGCTCAATTTAGTTCCTTTTGTTTTTCTCCCTTTTTCTTTCTATACTAGTGTGTACCCCGTGCGATGCACGGAAATAATATTAACTCTACAATATCATAAATAGATCTCGAGTTTGAGTTATTAAGTGAAAACTACTATTGATTCTATTTAAAAAGAGAAAGAAAAAAAATAATTATAAATTACAGAGGAAGATAAACAATACTTAGTAATTATAAATTAAAGATTCGGGGTCAAACAATGTAAAATTATTTTGTATAAGAGAAAATAAAATTTGCATTATTTTGTATAAGAAAATATAAAAATTGGATGTTTAATATTAAAAGACCTAAAATGTTATATTAGTATATGTAAAAGTATTCAAAATTTTCTATATTATTTTTGCAAGATGTGAAGTCACCTACAACTTCTCCAAACAATTTTAGAAGGAAAATATATCTAAAAACATTTGAATTTAACACTCTGTAAAAAAGATTTTTCTGGACTGTTTTGTAGAGAAAACATGTCTACAAATATTTAAATTTAACATCAATTATGTATATGTGTGTATATATATATGTATATATAGACGAATATGTAAAAAAAATGTCTAAACAATTTGTTTAAAATATCTAAAATATTATAAGCCTAATTTAATAAAGACATTTAGTTGGTACCGAACTTATGGTGTTACTTCCATCTAACAAAATTTGATTATACACAATTTCAAAATTATTATTATACTTTTTACATTGTTATCGAGGATGAGTTTGTAATATTTGTAAAAATATTAGGGTGTGATTGTTTATAAGTTGTACAGTAAATATCTCACTCAAAACTCAAATTTAACTCAACTTTAACTCAACTCCACTATCTTCAATATTATCAATATAATTAAATAATATCAAACAATTATTATTACACATCACATCAACTTTAATTCACTATTCATCCACCCACATAATTTTAACTAACCATCACTTCCAATTATTTTCTCCTACTTTTACATCAAATCAACTTTAATTATTTTAATTTAAATATTATTTTAATATATCCACTAACAATTAACCATATTACTTTTTTTCAAACTTAACTATAGTTAAAAAAAAAACTAGTTTTTACTAGTTGAATTCATATCCAATCACCCCCTTAATAATTAGACCAATAAAAATTAGCAGCGCCCGAGTCGTGTTTTATTTTTTTAAATAAGGGATGAGATTATTATCACCGACAGATTTGAGTAAAAAAAACAGGAAAAATGAAAACAAAAATAGGAAAAGAAAAATATTTATATATACTGTCACCAACAATTTTTTAGTACCAAGAAAAAAAGAAAAAGAAAAACAGATATATACAAAGCCAATTTTTTTGTCTATTTAAAATTTACCAATAATTACTATATATAAGATAGATTTAATATTGACAGAAAAAACTTGCTAAATTTGTAAAAAAGTTTATATAATGATAGATTAGGGGGCGATTGTCTATCATTTCTACAGTAAAAAACTCAATCAAAACTCAAATTTAACTCAACTTTAACTCAACTTCACTATCTCCAATATTATCAATATAATTAAATAATATCACCAAATCATTCTTACACATCACATCAACTTTAATTCACTATTCATCTACTCACATAATTTTAACTAACTATCACTTCCAATCATTTTCTCCTACTTTTACATCAAATCAACTTTAATTATTTTACTTTAAACATTATTTTAATATATCCACTAACAACTAACCATATCACCTTTTTTCAAACTTAACTATAGTTAAAAAATAACTAGTTTTTTACTAGGTGAATTCATATCCAATCACCCCCTTAGGATTTTGGACAATGCTATATTAACAAAACCAGAGACCAAAATCTACTTACCAAGGGTTTTGCGCCTTCTCCGCCAAGCGCCGGGGAAGCACCGCCATACCGCCGCCTCAAGGGTTTTGCTCTTCCCACAATATTTACCGCCGATCATCCCAGCCTTCGCTCTCTCTTCGGATCGGAGCCTAACTTTCAATTCCCCCATACTTTTTCCGGATCTTCGCTAGTTTTTTCAGTCACGATGTATTTCTTTGCTTTGTAGAGCTCTCTCTCATCTCACAGTTCGTCTCAGATGCCGTAGGTTTTATTAATGTATTATCTAATTTCGTACCATTCGTGGTTATGGCTACACGGTTCACCGTCACCCACTCGGCCTCCATGGCCGCAAACCTCTCTCCCGCCTCCGGCAAAGGCGGCGCCACGCGGTTGTTTCACGGTATCTCAAAGCGATCGCGGATTTTTCAACACCCGTTGTTGGGAAACCCGATCCGAGTTATTCCGGATTCTCCCGCTCTGGATTGGCGACTGATTTCAGAAGACCGATGCCGTTTGCTCAGGCGATTCTGTCTGGGGAAATTGTTGGAGGAAGGAGTCAATCGCCAGTTATCGTCGGGTTACTCTCTCTCCTGAAGCAATCAATTGGGTCTTCTGGGGTTTCTTCTGTTCAGGCGTCCTTATCCCTTCCTTTCATTCATGGTTCTAACTGGTTGCCATGTAAAGGGTTCGCTAGCGCAGAGGTGGACAGGGGAAAGGCACTTTCTGGTACCGAATCCGTTGGAGACTCGGATTGCTAGTCGTGGTGGCCGTAAATGTTCTGAAGCATTGGCGGCCATCAAGAATAGTTGTGCAAGTGCAAGCAGTGTGAAGGTTTTGCAACAGAAACATGGTGGTAGTAAGTCTGATAATAGTTGGCCTTTGAAAATGTTGAACTTCTGTTTTACCTCTGAGGATGCTAAGGCGGCTTTCACTGCCGTCAGTGTTGGCATGTTGTTCAAATCAACTTTGGCGGAGCCGAAGTCGATTCCCTCAATGTCTATGTACCCGACACTTAATGTGGGTGATCGAATTCTGGCTGAGAAGGTTTCTTATGTTTTCAGGAATCCTGAAGTTTCAGACATTGTGATTTTCAAGGCTCCTTCATTTCTTCAGGAAGTTGGATTTAGTCCGTCTGAGGTGTTCATCAAAAGAGTAGTAGCAAAAGCTGGTGATTGCGTTGAAGTTCATGGTGGAAAATTGATGGTCAATGGTGTAACTCAAGACGAGGACATCATCTTGGAGCCAATTGAGTATTTAATGGACCCAATGCTTGTACCGGAGGACTGCGTGTTTGTGTTGGGAGACAACCGAAACAATAGTTTGGACTCTCATAACTGGGGCCCACTGCCTATCGAGTACATTGTTGGTAGATACCTCTTCCGCTACTGGCCTCCTTCAAAAGTATGCAGCACTCTTCACAGCACTCCCCAGCAATGGGGTGTTGTTGCATTTTCGTGAAAACCCTCCACAAGAAACTTCTTTCTCTGATTTTGGATTTTTGCCTCAAAAATCTTACTCCCGCCCAACTGGGCTTGATCTTTGTACCTTCTGAATTCCCTATCACATGACTGCTGCAAATATTCTCTGGCTGGTTTTCAAAATCTCCCCCACATTATCATTCAACTTTGTTTTGCGGATCTAATCTAATCCAGACCACTCATCCTTCTAAGTATTATTTCGTTTGCTGGTACTCTCGATAGTCAATAAAGATATTAATATTCGGCTGGGATACCATTGTGGCGATTGGTTGGAGACTTGAAGTTTAATTTTCAGGCAGCCAAGACTGGTTGATGTCTGGTGGGATTTATTTGTTAGCCTTTTTTGGGGGGTGATTTTGTTTAATGAGTGGTTTATGACGCTTGAATTGCTCTGCATATGATGTAGCAGATGACAATATTCTGGAAATGAAACGAGTTTAACTACAGAATAAAGAGTCGCTTGTCGCCATAAAGAATGCACATAAGAAAATGTAAAGGATCATTCGGAAAAATCAAGCACGTGTTACTGAACCCCCACATGTACATTAACTAGCAAGAAGATATTTAAAAACAGATGATCAACCTCAAAATCGTTTTCTGTTTGCTTGATGTTCAACAGATCACAGCCTACTACAAAATTTGTAAAAAAATTGGTGACACGACATGTCAAATTCGCCAATAAGTAACGATAAACCATCACTCTCACTTGTATTGCAAGGAAATAATAGTTGTACAGCAAGCCAAAAAATGGTAAAACGAATAGAAAGAAAAAAAAATCATTAGCTCAAATTGGTCATGAGTTTAACATCATCATCGATAATTAAACGGATTTTAAGCGAGCATGAAAAAAATCATTAGCTCAAATTGGTCATGAGTTTAACATCATCATCGATAATTAAACGGATTTTAAGCGAGCATGACCCACAAGGAAGAATGACGGATGCCGGTAAAGATGAGTTTGCCAGTAATAGAGAAGCTTCATCACCACCATTGTTCGTAAAAGGATACCCCATTTCCTCCAGCTCAGACGAATCAATCGAGAAGAAATCCCCACACCTGCAATTATACAATAGTTCAAAACAGCCGCCAATATCTTCAACAACCATGTCATTCAAGCTGACATCATCGGCATTCACGAAATCGAGTCTTGATTTTCTCAGTTCATTGTCGTAAAGGGCTCGGGATTCAGGGTTGCTAAGTACTTCCCATGCCTTCTGCACATCTAAGAAGTGATTATTCCTCTCGTGTGGTTCGGAAGATTTCTGCATTTTATCTGGGTGAGAGTTGAGAAGGGCAGTTCGGTAAATCTTACGGATTTCTTCTTGGCTGGCATCTTCCTTGACTCCGATTACCTCATAATGGGTTTTGCAGACTAAGGTATTGCTAAGTACCATGCCCGTAAGGGATTGGTTGGATACTGAAAAAGAAANAAATTAGGAATTGAACAAATTAAGAACCTCAAATGCTAAATTGAATCAAACATATAACTAGGCTAGAAAATTTCTTCCTGCCGGGATAGTTAACATCATTTTTTTTCAAAATGTCATCGGTCAGGTCACTGAGAAAGACAATCCACAAATTTTAACTTCACGTACAACTCAAGATAGATTTTCGGATACCTTGTTTTTAAAGAAAGGAACTGTAACATTTTTTTTTTTGCTAATAAATTAATAACATACAATCACATAACAGGCGAGTTCAGAGTTACAAAAAACGAGGGAAAGAAAATAGGAAGATTGCCACTCCAAACATAAGAAGATTGCGATACAAACGCCCACTTCACCAAGTTGTGTGCTACTTCATTCTGGTCCCTTGGCACATGATCGCATCGACCGCAGTTGAGGGAAAGGAGCAGGGCTCTAATATCGTCAAATACTCCAAGCAATGGGTCGAGCTCCTGTCGGTGGGAAAGACCACTAATGACGCCCATAGAAGGAACTGTAACATTTAAGTTATGTTTGGTAACCAAATAAGCTAGCTTATAGCTTATTTGGTTAGCTTATAAGCTCTCTGTATTCAAATAAGCTCCGTTTGGTAGGACGAACTTTTTTTTAAAGAGCTCGAGCTTATCTGATAAATTTCTTTGAGTAACTTTTCAAATAAGCTCGTTCAAATTTTTATTTCAACTAGTTTATCAGCTAATTTTACTAAATACTTTTATCATATAAACTAGTTTTTCAGCTATAAGTCATAAGCTATAAATTATAAGCTCAAAAATTACTTATAAGCTATAAACTAGCTTATTAGCAATCAGCTAGCTTATCAACTAGTTTTACCAAACATAGCCTTAATGTAAAATGTAACTCAACAAATGAAAACAAAAATAACATACAAGTTTGTCCTGTACAACAAGATATTCTCAGAGAATTTCTAGCATATTATTAGCGGTCATCTATTGAAAGCCGATTTAAGATACAGGCGGCTTCCCCCAGCAACTGTCCTTGGATTACTACTTTCTGGGAAGTGCTTGAAAGATTACTATATTTAAACATAGAGGTCCTAGAAAATACCAAAACCCAGTAAACATCACAAATCAATTGTTCACAAGTCATTAATATCATAATTCATCATTACATTCATAAATGTTTCTACTTTCTACTACCGAAACATCTTTTCAGCTAAATGAAACATGATTGTTGTGTTTGCAAAATACTAAGACTGCTAGTTCTAGAAAAGACAACTATTAAATCCAGAAACATAAAGATTCTAGCAAAGGTAGTGATAAAGAAGGAGGCATTAAAAAATAAACAATGGCTGCTAAGCAAAACTGATATAGAAACTAATCAAACTATGCTGCACGAACAAACAATGAGTCAAAAAGCAACCAATAAAAAGAAAACAAAATAAGGCGGTTCACAGGAGCGTCCGATTAGGAAAATGAGGAAAAAAAAATTAAAACAACATATTTTTTTCCCGCCTTAATGCCAAGGTTTCATTGAGAAATCAATTGTGGCTAACCTGCGATAATCCAAATCCTATCCAAAAAGTTGAGGCGTTTTTCACGGGCAACAGGAACAGGAGAAAGTTAAGAATCGAACAAAAAAAGAGATAATTGCGGCCACCGGCGGCGTGTGTAAGTGGTAGATATTAGGGGTGAAAAAGGAAAGTATAAAATGACGTACAATGAGATCAATTGGATTAATTATAAATTGCAGGTATTCTTATTTGATAATTGAACAGAAAATTGAATTTATCTCATTTTATTTTATTTTTATTTTCTTTTAAAATTTTTATTTTTATTCTTAAGAAACAACCTTCCACGTTTTTTTTTCTTTCTTAATTAGTTCATTTAAAATGAAATTGTCACAATTTCCTACTATTTACGGATCGATTTTTACTTGTCGCTACTGATAATTAAAAAAAATTTGTTAAAGAAAGTATAAAATTAAATTTGCCGCGCGTCGCAGTGCGAGCACTTATTATTGTATGTTTTTAATTATTTATTGTTATTGTTGGATGATGAATGTGAGTTCTCGTTTTCAATTAACATGGAATTCAATTAGTGCATAAATTAATTCATCCATCTAGGAATTTTTTATTCATGTTCGGATTTATGTTGAATGTTTGAATTCAATGGTAGTTCATACATGTTTAAATTGTTTGCTTTTCATGACTACTTGCTTGATCAACATCTAGTCTAGCTTGGTAACCTATAAACTATACATGCGGGCATAAGGTGTTCGACCATGGTTCAAATGGGATATATGATTGTAAATGTATTGTCCATAACTTCATTGATTCAAACTAGTACGTAACCCGTGCGATGCACATGATGTAAAATTTGGAAGAATAATATAACCTCACGTGCATTAGGATCGAAATTGAAATCATTAAAATACATAGGAACATTGTTGAATCATAAAAAGTTCGGTAACAATCATATATTATTAAAAACCTCCTTGTATACAACATTATGAGTTTGATTATTTAGTAACTCCTCATTATCACAAACTAATATTTTCAAAAGAGACAAATCCTAGAAATCCTAAAATATTAGTTTGTTAGTTTGTTCACCAATCCTAAAATATTAGTTTGTTCACCAAAAATATTAGTTTGATTTCTAGGATTTGTCTCTTTTTGGTGAACAAACTAATATTTTAGGATTGGTTATATGAAAAAGGCTACCTGTATTTGGTGTTCTTTTCATTCATTTTCATTCAAACAATCTCATGCCTTGTATAATGAAATTCGAATCTTAAGCCGAAATATTTAAAAAAAGAGTTTTTAAAAATTGAAAAGTCAAGGCAATCAGTTCAGATTAATTAAAGGTCAAAGAATATCCGCTACTTGAAATAAAGACGTGTGCTATCATATCCAGTTATTGATATAGAGTGGTTACCAAAAAATAGAACGCGATAAGGACGCTTCATGGAAATATCAATGGGATAAGGTCATAACAGATCGCTATACATTTTAACGATAAAAGCTCAGATAGAATGATTTATATCTGATTTATGATAATTATGTCGTAATTAATAAATTAATTAGATGTGTGAAAATGACATAATTAATGAGAAGTGTGAAACGGACATAATTAATGAGAAGTGTGAAAAAGACATAATTAATGAGAAGTGTGAAAAGGACAAAAACTTACCCGTTTTGGAAAATATTTAATGCAAATCCGACATTGACCATAATTTGACCTACTATTTTGGATAAATATTAATTCTTATTATATGAGTATAGATACGTATTTGTTTATGTCTGGACTAGTGCTCTTAAATTAAAGGATTGGCGACTTATCTTTAGGCTTGTGTATATACTTTCACTTGATCCTTTATGTTCAATCCTTGTTGTTGGGAGCGAACCGCTAGGTGTTTAAACGAGAGCCTAAAAGATCGAACAATCATACGTTTGATGTGAATTTTATGACACGATGAGATTATTCCTACATTCTCGTTTATTTTTTTAGTTATTTAATTATTTTGAAGATTCTTGATAGTTATTAGATAATTTCTCCAAATCACGAGCGATTAGAATATTTAGGACTTTATCATTTTTTCGTTTTCGTGTGTGATCAACCAACTCTAAAATTCGGACCACCTTTTTCGAAAGATTGAAAGGTCCTATTCCATATCACACTCGATAATAATAATAATAATTTGCTAATAACGTAACTTTGTACCTACGAAAAATGCAGTGTCATATCATCGTATGTATATAAATTCACATAAATTGTCTTGACTGATAATTTATTTGGAAATATAATTTTGGAATACTTTTGTCCCAACACACAATTTGACATAAAACTTATCAATTGTTAATTACTAGCATATATACAGGTCACATTCTAATACTTTGAATTTTATTTTACTTTTTTTTCTTTTTAGTTTTCCATTTCTGCAGGCAAACAACTATTAAAAACTTTGTGAGGCTTCACGTCACAGTGAACATAACCGGCCTTGTGGACGTGAAGGAGCGCCGTGAGTATGGATTTTGTGCAGCGGCTGACGGTAATTTCCGGAAGGCCTTTGATGATGTGATCGGCAAGACATCCACCGGAGGCATACTCGAGCAATATGTTGTAGAGTGTCTCCCCGTTTTCGGTCGTGATTGAGTCCCCAAAGCAGCGGAGGATAGAGGGGCATGACTGGAATTTGTCGAGCAACTCCTTCTCCTTCTTCAGGGATTCGGATTCGGAACCTTTGGCAGTTTTCACGGCAATCAACGGCGGGAGATTATTATCTTGGTTGGTTTTGGCGATAGAGACGAAACCAAAACCACCCTTTCCGAGGGTTTCTCCTCTAACCCAACTCGTTCTTCATTGTCAAGTTCATTCACTGTATAGAGCAACTGCATTTGACGAACAAGCACACCAAGTGGAGATCTTGTTTCGATACCACTCATTTGGATCCAAAGCCACTCATTTGCATCTGAAACCGAGTATCTTTTTCCCACGCTTCAATTTGTGCCATGGCTAGTTGTGAACGGATATCCTGTTCGAGAAGATTACCAAAATTTTGTTCACTACATTTGTGAAGCTTACAAAGGACCCAATATTCCGAAAGCCTGCAAATCAAGATCGTTTGAACACGATTCATCTCAAGCTGGGATTTCTACGCCGAAATTTGACCATCATTAGGAAGTTGACTTGACAGTACAGTACCTCTGCATTAGTAACAAAAAAACAGGTCAGGGAACCAAGTTCAGAAGGCTCCGGAAGTTTCTATTATGCAATAAACTTTGAAATAAATTTAGTTCCTATTTGTCCCTGATCTGTAATATGAGTGACATTTATTCAAATTTAATTTATAAATATTGATTTCATCAAAAAAAAAAAAAAANTCTCAACAAATCAAAGGCATGCAAAAGGAAAAGACAAAAAAAAAAATGTCAAGTGAACAAGACACAACAAATATATATGGTCTTCATCCCTCTGCCCATACTCAGCCACCTGCAGGCCTCCCCGTGAAGTGGGACCCGCGGCTCACGGCCACCAACCATCATCATCATGAAGCTCCCGGTCGACACCAAAACCAACCCCCGACGACCGCCACCCCAAGATAAGATTCATGGAGCTTCTACCGGATGAGCACAGCTCATGTGAGGGCTTTGTCGTATGATTACGTGGGCAGTTTTATGGATAGTGTTTTGGATAACGTTTCTTGATCTAATCCTTTCTATTTACCATCGTTTTGTCCTGTTCTGATCGGGTATACATTTTTTATTTTGGATTTTTCGAGCTATTTTCACGTTGTAATGCACCAAACGATATTATGTATGAATCAAAAAAGAAAGTTTTCGAATCAGATCTTTCGAAGATTGTTGTGGTGTCATGGAACCTTATTCCTCCATGAAAGAAGAAATCAAATATAGAAGAAAAACATAATGAAACCACTATATTTATTTTTTTAGGCATACCATTTCTCTAGAAAATCACCTATATAACAAATAAATAATGGCTGCACCTGCACTCCCTCCAACAAGAAAATAAAAAATAAAAAGTCGACCCTTGAGATGGCGAAGCTCCTAATCCACCGGGACCCGCACCTCTTTGTCACCATACGTGTTTCTCATCATTCGTCGACATCCCAAAAGTCGAGCCAGCTGCGGGCCCACTCGTCCCTTTCTTCACCCGATACATTGCTGACCACAAGGACCACAATTCTTGTATATATCTAATAGGTGCAACTTAATTTATGTGATACCATTAACATAGCAGGAAGGAAGAAAGAATTGCTATTGACTTTGTAATATACTGTTGAAAAGATATATACAAGACTTGTTAAAAATATGCACAACTCAGATTAGATTGATCATGAATCAGTGTACAGATATAAAGAAGATTAATCAGCAAGCCTGCACTTTTGGGTGGTGAAAACAATGAGGCATCAAAGAGTGAATGCCATGAGACAATCTATGGTGATGATGATGATGATGATGATGATGGTATTTTCCAGCAACTATCGGTGGATCAGCCTTGCTGACAAATGGATGGCCGAGCAGCATATCAACTTTCCACCTGGCCGTCGGATCTTTCACCAAACACTTTGCAAGAAAGTCTTTAGCCTCTTTGGATATTCTGTTGTTCGTCGGAATAAGAGGAATCTGGTCACTGCACCCAATCTTGAAGAGAACATCCTTTGCCTGGGCCTTGCTGTCGAAACTCCACGGTGGTCTTCCGGTGAGCATGTGTAGAACTGAGCAGCCCAAGGCCCAAACATCCGAGTCCGGCCCGTACTTCTGCTGGGTTATGGACTCTGGGGCCGCATACATAACCGTGCCCCTGAAATCATCACAACAACTATTTCCGTCGAAGCTCTTGCAGCAGCTCCCGAGATCTGCGAGCTTGGCGTCTTGGCCGACGAGCAAAACATTGTGAGGCTTCACGTCACAGTGAACGTAGCCAGCCTTGTGGATGTGAAGGAGCGCCGTGAGTACGGATTTCGTGCAGCGGCTGACCGTGATTTCCGCTAGGCCGGCTTTGATGATGTGATCGACAAGGCATCCACCGGAAGCGTACTCGAGCAATATGTTGTAGAGTTTTTCCCCTTTTTCGGTCGTGATTTCGTCCCCAAAGCAGCGGAGGATAGAGGGGCATGACTGGAATTTGTCGAGCAACTCCTTCTCCTTCTTCAGTGATTCGGATTCGGAAAATTTGGCGGTTTTCACGGCAATCAACGGCGGCAGATTATTATCTTGGTTGGTTTTGGCGATAGAGACGAAACCAAAACCACCCTTTCCGAGGGTTTCTCCTCTAACCCAACCCATTCTCTCTCTCTCTCTCTCTCCTATTCTTTCTGCGTTTTTCAATTGTTTTCTCTCAAGGCCCGACTCCTATATATATGGTTTTTTGTTTGAGTAATGATCAAGTATTTAGGGTCAAGAGAGTTTAGGTTTTATATGATTTTACCTATTATTACGAGGAATCCTATCCTCCAAGAATTAAAATTATGCACACGCTCTGTTACATCTTTCTCTATACCGACATATCTCATGGATTTCAAAATTCAGTTCTAGAATTTTTAATTACAATTATCTAGCTATTCCATTCCCTATTCAATATTACCCCTAATTAATTTATTTATCTGTTTTATTATTAATAATTTATTATCATAATTTTGTGTTTTCAATCTTAATGTTACAGCTGGAAAATTTTGGTAACTTTTTTAAAAATAAATTTAATTTAATTTTTAAATAAAATGAAGTCTCTATAGGACACCTTTAATTATTTTTCTTCCACCTTAGCGATAATATAAAGGGTAAAGATTTCATTTTTTTCTTCCACCTTAATCCTTTTTCTTCTCTTTTGTGCCATTGCTTCCCATTTTTCTTTGATAACTATATAAAAACTAATTGTTTGATTCTTTCGCAGGTATCCATGAAGTAAGTGTCCAAGTTTGGAAGTAAAGCTGCTGGATTGTTCATTTTGTAACACAAAATATTTCCCAAATTTTGATTTTGATTTTGATTATATCTTAATTAATATTATCATGTTTTCAATTCAAGAGTTTTTAATTTTGTTTTGCTGTAACTGAGTCAAGTACCATAGTTGATCTGATTGGCTTATGCTCTGTACATAGTATTTTGATCTTCTCGAACCTGAGTTGCCTTGTCTGAGATGGTCAAGAAGAATCATGAAATAATTTGATTACTCTCCCTGGAGTAAATTTAAAATTGTAAAAGAAAGTAGAAAAGCATATAAATAATATCATGAGAAATTTTTAAAATTTAATATAATGTGACCCTGAAATTTGTAAACTACACCAGAGCAAATTCTAGAATAGTTTGAACAAGATTACAAAATTTGATGTATAAAATGCTCTCAACATTGTATACTCTAAATATAATAACTACAACCAAACCAAATTTCATATATAAATACCGAAATGGATGAAAAAGATGGTCAGTGTCAATCATAATTTGCCCATTGGTGCTTCTTATAGCTCTGGCTTACCAGACTTGGAACTCTTTGTTTTCCTGCCTCTCCATCACCGTCTTATCCTGTTTGAAACCCTGTTTTCATGACCTTTTAGTTTCTCACCAGCACCAAAGACCCCTCTTCCTACTCGCTCCTTCCAGTCATACTTTTTATCATCTTTATCATCTTTGTTTTCTGCATGCAAGGTGGTGGTGTTTTTTGGAAATCCAAAAACAAAACTTATGTTGTATGTAGCTCGTTCAACCATGTCGGAGTTCATCACTTTAGATAATGTTGGTGAAAAACCCGAACGACTTCGAAACTTTTTATCCAATATTCCATGTTGGATTAGGACTTTGCCGTTTGTGATGATTCACTGTGATAGCAAAACTGCTATAGGAAGGGTTCAAAACAACATGTATAACGATAAGTCTATACATATTCGTCGTAGACATAAATATTCCATGTTGGGTTTGACCTGGTTTTGACCGATTTCTTGATGACTAAATATTAATTTTGGATTGAATTAAATTGTATTGAAAAATTCTACGTTCCGAGTACATACTTATGGTATATTTATTTTTTCAAAACTAATATTCGATAAGTGAGAAATAAATAATTAAAGATAACCACTAATGACACATAAAACGATAGTTGTGAGATTTGAATGGCCAAGAGTCTTATCCCACATTAGACTCTTTAATAAGAATAACTCTCTTTATTATAATAAAGAAAATTTAAGAAGTCACAGCAACACCAAAGTTATGCACCAAGTATGGACTTAGACAATTTGGGCCACATGCGCGTGCTCGCCCGTCGTCTAGTCGGTCGGCCGGGCTCGGGCTCAAGCACAGGCACATGCGTAGGTCGTTGATCATAGTACTTGGCAATTGCATTGTTAGCTGGACTTGGATGGTCTGGGCTGGTGTTAGGCTCGGGCCCACAGTTTGGACTTAGACAATTTGGGGCCAGTGTTGAACTTGGGCCTTTGGCCCCAACCCTTATAATCGTTTTTCCTGCAAATTTATTTGCAAAATTGTGGCCCAAAATAAAATACAAATCGAGTTAGTTTTGGACTCGGGTTTTGACCCAGCCTGTGAGAGACCTATCCAGATACATTGTATCAGGACATGTTGACTCTACTAGACCGTTTCAAGTGGAGTAGTGATGTGTTATCACCTGTAAACGACAAACTTAACTCCTGACCATTGTCTGTCTATAAAACAGCCTTAAGTAGGTTGTTACCTGTTTTAAGTGACAGGTGATTGATGTCATTTTCCACTTGTGCTCGAAGGACATAA